AGAAAGAGGAAGAGGAGGGAGGAGTGGCAACCAGCAAGAGCAAGAGTGGCATGATGATGAGGCGGACGGGGAGTGCATCCGAGCAAATTGTCAAACCCACAGCCCGCAGCAGTACGCGAATCTAGTGCCCAGGAGGCCGCAGCACAAGGCCAGCAGGAACCACGACCGCCATCCCAGCCCTCTGGGCGCAGGTGGTCTAACGATGTCTATATTTCCTCTTGGAAAAACCCTCTTCCCCCTCGGGGAGGGGTTTAACATTGTTCCATATTAATATACACCCCCTCCCCCAGGCGACTGGGAGCCAACCCGATACCATGCGGGCCCCCGCCCACCATCCCGTCCAAAAAACACTACAAATGACACTCTGCCTCCAAATTCGGAGCACGCGCAGCGAACCCGATGCGGCCTCCCCCCACCATCCCTGTCAAAAAACAATACAGAGGACACTTGGCGGCGGCGGCGGCTGCGGCGGCTGCGGCGGGGGCAGCGGCTGCGGCGGCTGCGGCGGTGGCGGCGGCGGTGGCGGTGGCGGCGGGGGCGGTGGCGGCGGCGGCGGAGGCGGCGGCGGTGGCGGCGGCGGCGGCTGCGGCGGCTGCGACGGGGGCAGCGGCTGCGGCGGCTGCGGCACTGGAGGCGGCGGTGGCGGTGGCGGCGGGGGGGCGGCGGCGGCGGCGGCGGCGGCGGCGGCGGCGGCGGCGGCGCGGTGGCGGCGGCGGCGACGGACAGCGGCGGCGGGCGGCGGCGGCGGCGGCGGCGGATTCGCCCCCAGTAGCTGCCCATTCAAAAACGACTGCTGAATATGCTGCGGCTCGGGCCAGGCTCGCGTGCTACGTATGTGTTGAGAGGGCGGAAGGGAGTGAGCGAGACGGCGTGCAGGCGGGGAGGGAGTCTTGATCACTGTTCCCTATTATGACACTGGAGAAAAACCCCAATCAGATTTTTGCTTGGGCTATGGAACTGGGCTATGAGGCTATAGGGCTATAGGGCTATTGGGCTATTGGGTTATAAGGCTATAGGGCTATAAGGCTGTAGAGCTATAGGGCTATAGGGCTATAAGGCTATGGGGCCATCGGGCTATAGGGCTATGGGGTTATTGGGCTATTGGGCTACAGGGCTACAGGGCTATAGGGTTATGGGGCTCTGGGGCTATAAAACTATAGGGCTATAGGGCTACAGGGCTATTGGGCTATTGGGCTATATGCTTTTGGGCTTTTGGGCACCCCGGGCACCCGGGCACCCGGGCACCCGGGCCCGGCCACCGAAATCGGCCACGCACCTCACCGGCCACCTGGGCACCCGGGCACCGCCGGGCACCCGGGCACCCGGGCACCCGGGCCCGGCCACCGAAATCGGCCGCACCTCTCACCTAAACCTTTAGTCCGCTAGGACCCCTACAGAGGCAAGCTCTGATTGGGGAAATATACACCCCCTCCCCCTGGCGCCTGGGAGCCAACCCAAGTCCATGCGGGCACCCCCCACCATCCCTTTGTAAAAAACAATACAAAACACACTGTCCCCACCATCCTGTGCAAAAAACAATACAAACACACACTCTGTCCCTAAATTCTCAGCATGCGCAACGAACCCGATGCGGCCGCCCCCCACCATCCCTTTCAAAAAACAATACAGAGGACACTTGGCGGCGGCGGCGGCTGCGGCGGCTGCGGCGGGGACAGCGGATGCGGCGGCTGCGGCACTGGCGGCGGCGGGGGCAGCGGCGGCGGCGGCGGCGGCGGCGGGGGCGGCGGCGCCGGCGGCGGCGGTGGCGGCGGCGGCGGCGGCGGCAGCGGCAGCGGTGGCGGCAGCGACTGCGGCGGCAGCGGCTGCGGCGGCGGCGATTTGGCAGCGGGGGCGGCGGCGGCGGCGGCGGCGGCGGCGGGCAGCGCGGCGGCGGGCGGCGCGGTGGCGGCGGCGTCGGCGGACAGCGGCGGCGGCGGCGCCGGCGGCGCGGCGGCGGCGGGCGGCGGCGGCGGCGGTGGCGGAGGCGGATTCGCCCTCAGTAGCTGCCCATCCAAAAACGAATACTGCATATGCTGCGGCTCGGGTTAGGCTCGGGTGCTACGTATGTGTTGGGAGGGCGGGTGGGAGTGAGCGAGACGACTTTGCGGGCGGGGAGGGAGACTCTTGACCCCTCCCCCTACCCCCCCCCCTGGACATGGACGGGAGGGGCCGCGATCGGTTGGAAGGTCCTTTTTCGGCCCTTGGGAAGGCCAATTTTTGATACCTCTCACGAGGATCGTGGCCCCCGAGGGGGGGGGGACTCGATGGGGACCCTCCATCTTCTGATCGAAAACCTCGAAGATGGCCCCAAGAGACACTCCAGGACTCCCAAGAGAGCCCCAAGAGAGACCCAAGAGGGCTCCAAGAGGGTCCCAAGAGAGCCCCAAGAGGCACCCGAGAGGCCCCCAGGAGGCCCCCGAGCGGCCTTAGAGAGCCCAAGATGACCTCCAGCATGGCTCAGATAACCCAAGCTGGCTCCAGATGGCTCCCAAGATGCTCCAAACGGCCCTAAGACCGTTCCAAGAGCGCTCCAAGAGAGCCCGAAAAAACGATTCGCCGGCTCCTGAGGGGGGACCTGGGTTGGGGACCCCAGCCATCCTGTAATCGATGGCCTCCGAGATGATCAAAAAAACCTTCCAGGGTTACCAAAGAGGGTTCTAAGAGGGCCCCCAAAGCTCCCAGAGCAAGAATACCTCTAGATGGTTCCATGAGTCCTCGTCCGCGCCGTCCTCATCCTAGTCCTCGTCCTCCTCGTCTTCGGCCACATCCATCCCCGTTTTCCTCGTCCTCATCATCCTCCTCATCCTCCTCCTCCTCCTCCTCCTCCTCCTCTTCTGCCCCTTGCCCCCACGCGGCACCCAGGGATGGCCCGAAGAGGCCTTCCAAGGCCACCCCCTTGCTCGCTTTGTTTCCCTAGATGAATAGTTCGTCCCTTTTCCCGTCAGCTCTGAAGGGCAGATTTTCTGAATGGGCTGGTGGGGATACGCGAAGCGTGAAGAGTATTCCCCAATGGTTTCCCTATCAGCTGAAGGAACACGCCGCTCTTGACCTCGACGTTTCACGCGATGTTTCACGACACAGGCGTTTCCAAAAGGCAGGGGGCAGCGGTGACTCGCCGTACGCGTGTTCGAAAGGTAAGCAGACCTGAATTTTGGAAGCATGGATCTGTGTATGGTGGGAGCCGTATCTAGCAAAATCGCTACACGAACCCGTCTGTCAAGGGGCCCATAGGGGCAATTACGCATCTCGGTGAGACAGGGTACTCTGGTCGGTTCGACAAGAGGTGATAACGATGGTGAACCCGACACGGCTGGTCGCCATTATTGAGCAGGTCACTGTCTGAAGCTGCGCGACGTCTGCGCTGCTTTGCGACGCCTGCCCCCCTCGCCCCATTCATGGAAGGCGCGCCGCTGGATGCCCCAAGGGGGGGGTTCGGAACATCCCACCCCCCCTTCTTTCCCCGGTCCGTCGTCGAAGACCCCTCCTCCCCTTTCCCAATTCCGTTGTTGGGGACCACCCCCCCTTTCCTCCCTCCTTTGGACTAAAAATTCTGACCTTCCCCCTCCCCCCTTTTCGCCACGCCGCCCACTGGCCCCACCAGAACCCGACCCCGACCACCCCTAACAGAAATCTTCAAGCCCTACCCTCACCCCTATTCCCTATCCTCGCCCTTTTACTACACACTTCTCATTACTCACCACTCACTACTCGTTGCCCACTACTCACGAATAGTGATTCACTACGCACGACTCACTACTCAGTACTCCCTACCTCATACTCTCTACTCACTGTTCATAACTCACTGCTCACTACTCGCGACTCGCCACTCAATACTCGTTAGTCGACACTCACTACTCACAACTCACTCTTCTCTACTCACAATTTGTAACTCACGACTACCCACTCGCAACTTACTTGTCAGTACTGGCAGCACACTACGCACAACCCACCCCTCTCTACGCACTGCGCACTACTTACTACACAATACCCACTACCCCCTAATACTCACTACTCACTATTAACTACCCACTACCCACTAGCCACTACGCAAACTACTCTCTACTCCATACCTCTATTCAGTTCTGATTATTCACTACTCGGTACTCACTGCCCAATACAAACTACTCCAACCCGCTAATCACTACTCCCTACTCACTGAATCTCTTCGCACTACTCACAACTCACGACTCAAAAATCACTGCTCACTACCCACTACCCACTACCCACTACCCACTGCTTACTGCCCACATCTCACGATTCTATACTCACTACGCCCGACACACTACTCACAACTCACTACTCACTACTCGGTACTCCCTAGTCACTACTAACGACTCAATACAAACCATTCACTTCTTACTACCACTCACCACTCACTACCCTCTACTCCCTGGTCACTATTCACTACTCACTAACTACACGCTGCTCACTACTCACTACTCACTACTCACTACCGGTTACTCACTACTCACGGTTAACTACTCCGCACTCCCTATCCGCTACTCAGTACTCACTACTCACTATTCCGTACTCCTTGCCCAGTACTCGCTAGTCAATGCCCACTACTCAGTACCCACTACTCAGTAATCACTACCCCTACCCCCTACTCCCTACATCGTACTCACTACTCACTACACACGACTCACTACTCACTACTCACTACACACTACTCACTACGCAAGACTCGTCACTCACTATGCTGACTCACTATTCACTACTCACTACGCACTACTCGCTACGGGCTACTCACTACTCACTACTGACTACTCGATCCCCACTGCGCACGACCGACTACTCACAACTCAGTACCAACTACTCACTACGACCTACGAGCTTGGGCGTACCCACTACTCATTTCTCACTACCTACTGATCACTACTCACTACTCACCACCCACTACTCACTATCATTACTCACTACTCACCACTCAATACCCACTACCCACTACCCACCACTCATTACTCAGTGTTCAATTTCCCACTAATCACTACTCACTATTCAATACTCACTACTCAATAACCTTTTTTGTCCACCATCCACGACTGACCACTCACTACTCCCTATTCACTACTCACTACTCACTACTCACTACTCAACCTCCTTCCCCTCCCCTCGAAGCATTCGTGAAGCCAGCCCGGGGAAGAATCAGAATGTTCGGAAACCAAGCAATCGAGAGATCCTGAGGCGAGACCACCACCCCCCTTGCGGGAGAGGCCCTCTCCCCGGCCCTCTGTCCGACGCAAAGGGGGGGGGTCCGACCCCCCCACCCCTCCAGAAGGAGAGGTGGAGGGGTCCGAAAATTGCCCCCCCCTTTCCAGCGCAAGAGGAGGGAGGGGTTCCGAACACCCCTCCCCCTGGAGGGGATCCGAAAATCTCACCCCCCTTTGAAGGGGGGGAGGGGGGAGAGGGGTTCTGCGAGCACGCACCCCTTTTCAATCACCGGGGCAACCAGTGGCGCGCTTTCATGCACATAAGTGCTATCTCGCCGATGGGCGTCGTCGCCACGTCAGAGCCAAGTCGGCTAGTCCAAACCAATTTTGATCGTGATGTTCTTCCCTCTCTCCTTTCGGTCGGAGGCGACGATTGGAGCGAATTCCCCAAGGGAGAGCATCACACATATAACCGCATGTGTAACAACTAATTCTGCTTTCATCGCCCGTATCGACGGACTGGTGTCCCATTAATAATGAGACAGATTATTTTTCTCCGCGGCAACCGCCGCGCAACAACAACGACGACGACGACGACGATGACGACGACGACGACGACGACGACGACGACTACGATTGCGATTACGACTACGGTTGGGGGGTGAGGAGGAGGAGCAGCAGGAGGAGGAGGAACAGCAGGAGGAGGGGCGAAGCTTAGTCCCTGCCGAGAGAAACACGGGGGGGGGATCCAACAGAAGTTAAGACCTCCTGAAATTATCCACGGGCACCGACAGTCCATGCCTTCGGCGAGGCTCACGGAGGGGTACGTGTACAGTGTGGGCGCGGCCGCAAGAAACCCTCGCAAGAAACACAACCCTGAGAACCCGTGCGCGAGGTGCACCTGAGGGGAAACCTGGAGCACCCTGAACCCAGCAGTTCCTTCAACGGCTGCGGGAAGTCACCGCGCAGCGCGAGGAGCGAAGAAACCCAGGATACCCAGACGAAAAGCATACGGCTTCTTGATGCGCGCCCCCACTGTAACGCCCTCCCCTGGGCCGTTCGCTCCTATCGTCGCCTTCTATTCGGGCCGGCCGATGGGCGGTTGGCGAATCGGCTCGCACGCAGCCGGTGCTTCCACCGCCCCCCGGCGCCCGAGGCGCCAGAGCTCCCAGGAGGGCGCCTCGCGGCGGGGCCGGGAGCAGCGGCATGCGGCAAGTTTCGCAAGCCCCCCTTGTTCTCGGGTGCTGCCAGAGCTGTCCCTGACCCAAAGCGCCGCCAGGAGTTCCAAGGAGGCCCCCACGGCATCCAGAGCACCCCTCACGAGGCCCAGGGGGCCCAGGGGCTCGAAGCCGAGCGACAAGCTGGGGGTACCCTTGGGCCAGCGACACCTTTAGCAACCCTGGACTTTCCCACTGCCCCCCCATTCCGCCGACCCGGTCCTTCAAAGTCCTCTCCAGATTCGCGATGTCCTGCTCCACGCCGTCATCGCTGGCGAGGTTGATCGTCTGCAGCTGGCTGTCTGCGTTCTCCGCCAGCGCCCGTTCCATGCTGCCAACGACAGCCGAACTGACACCGCCCGCAAGAGCCAGCACCTGGGAGCCGAACAAGCATTCAGATCCACCTCCATCGCCACTTCTCTCCCCCCTCCTCAGACTGTTCTCTCCCGTCCCGGGAACGGGGGAGAGAATAGAATAGAAATTATCCCGGCAAAGCAACCTAACAGCGATGTGTAGAAGCATATCTGAAAGCATTCCCCTTAAGATTCAGATGAAAATCCAGTTGTCGAATTCTGCTGTTCTCGCAGTCGTAGTCGCATTCGCGATGACAGTCGCAGCGGCAACGGCAGTCGCAGTCACAGCCTCAGCCTCAGCCTGCCTCAGCCTCAGCCTCAGCCTGCCTCAGCCTCAGCCTGCCTCAGCCTCAGCCTCAGCCTGCTTCAGCCTCAGCCTCAGTCTGCCTTCAGCCTCGGCCTCAGCCTCAGCCTGCCTCAGCCTCAGCCTGCATCAGCCTCAGCCTCAGCCTCAGCCTGCCTCAGCATCAGCCTGCCTCAGCCTCAGCCTCAGCCTGCCTCAGCCTCAGCCTCAGTCTGCTTCAGCCTCAGCCTCAGTCTGCCTTCAGCCTCGGCCTCAGCCTCAGCCTGCCTCAGCCTCAGCCTGCCTCGGCCGCAGCATCAGCCTGCCTCAGCATTCAAAATGTGGCCCAGGAATGGAGTTCTGGGAACTAGAAGAACACGAAGTGGCCTACAGTTGGCTCCGGGCATTCAAAATCATGCCCAGGAATGGAGTTCTGGGAACTTGAAGAGCACGAAGTGGCCTACAGTTGGCTCCGGGCATCCAAAATGTGGCCCGGGAATGGAGTTCTGGGAATCGAAGAGCACGAAGTGGCCTACAGTTGGCTCCGGGCATCCAAAATGTGGCCCGGGAATGGAGTTCTGGGAAGTCGAAGAGCACGAAGTGGCCTACAGTTGGCTCCGGGCATCCAAAATGTGGCCCGGGAATGGAGTTCTGGGAGCACCAAGAGCGATTTTGCGAGGATGTCCCAAGCGATTTCGGCTTCGGCGGCAGCCGCGGCGGCAGCCTGTCCGGGTCCCGCCCAGACCCCCCTGAGGAGTCATGATGCTCTCTTTTGAGACCACTAGAAACCTATCAGCAAAAGCTGTTAGGTAAAAACGTCATAAGCATAAACTGTTGACGCTCCGCGTGGATTTCTCGGATCTGCGCTGACCCCCCTCCCTGGCACGCGGAGCGCGCCAGGGGCGGCGCCGGAGGCGACGCCGGGGGGGGCCCAGCGCGGATCCAAGAAATCCGCGCGGAGCGCCAAAAGTTTATGCTTATGGCGTCTTCCTTTCGAGAGAAGAACGAGTAGTGGTCCTCCGAAGCACCTCCAGGGTGGCGTTCGACCTCAGCATCTCTCCCATGGCCTCCCCGCTCAGTTCGGCGCCGTCCAGCCAGAGCGTGGTGACGCTGCCATTCTTACCCAAGGCCGGGCCCAAGAATTCACCATCGCCAGGCCCGATTCCTGGTGGGCTTGTTTTCCACCACCACCACCACCACCATAAGTAGGAGGGGGAGGTGGTCCTCCTCCTCCTCCTCTTCTTCTTCTTCTTCTTCTTATTATTATTATTATGCTTATTCTTATCATTATTAGTATTATTATTATCATCATTATTATTATTCTTAACATTATTATTAATATTCGTCTTATTCTTAGTGTTCTTATTATTTTATTATGATTATGCTTATTATTAGTATTATTCTTATTATTCGTCTTCGTCTTCTTATTATTAGTAGTATTATTATTATTCTTAATAATATTATTATTAGTCGTATTCGTCTTATTATTCTTATTATTCTTATTATGATTATTCTTCGTATTATTCTTATTATTCGTCTTATTCGTCTTATTCGTCTTATTCTTATTGTTCTTATTATTATTATTCGTATTCTTCTTATTCTTATTATTATTGTTATTATTATTCCTCCTCCTCCTCCTCCTCCTCCTCCTCTTCCTCCTCCTCCTCCTCCTCCTCCTCTTCCTCCTCCTCCTCCACCTCCTTCCCCCTCCAACTTATGGTGGTGGAAAACAGGCCCATCAATTCCGTTGCCGTGGAGCTTGAGGACCTTCAGCGTCGTGTTCCCATGCAGCATCGCTGCGAGCGACCGAAGGCCCTCGACCCCGATGGAATTGTTCACCGTGTCGAACCTTGTCAGGGTCGTGTTCGCCTCCTGGAGAGACTTCGCGATCGCGACGGTGGCCTCTGCCTGCAAGTCGTTGTCACTGAGCTCGAGTGACGAGAGGCAGCTGTTCGCACTGAGCGCCTCAGCAAAAGCCTTGCCGCCTTGAGCTCCGAGCTCGTTGCGCCCGATCCGCAGCGTTTTCAGGCATGTGTTTCCCTTGACGGCTTCGGCAATCTCGGCGCCAGCCTCGGATCCAATGCCATTGTTTGCAATGCCCAGGCTCGACAGTGACGTGTTTGACCTCAGCGCCTTTGCAAACGCCTTCCCACCCCTTTCGCCGAGCTCGTTCTGCGGGATCCACAGCGATGTGAGCGTGGAATTAGTCTCCAGGGCAGTCGCGATCGATGCGCCGCCCTCAGGTCCGAGCTTGTTGCCGTCGATGTGAAGAGCCAAGAGACACGCGTTGTGGCGCAAGGCGCTCCCGAACGCCTCCCCGCCCATACGTCCCAGCTCGTTACACTCCGTGTTCAGGGCCCTGAGGCACGTGTTCTTCGAGAGCGCCTCAGCCACTGCCGAACCACTCTCTTCACCGATACCATTCCACCCTATGCGCAGATTGTGGAGAGTGTCATTGCCCTCGAGCGCCTCCGCCATATGCTTTCCCCCAGCCGGCCCCAGGTTGTTGCTGTCGATCAGCAGGCTTCTGAGCGTCCGATTCTGGAGCAACATCTCCTTCATGGCTTTCGAGCCCTCCACGCCGATGACATTCTTTGATAGGACAGCGTCTTTGATCGTGCTGTTCCTCCCGAGAGCCCGTGCTACGACCTTCCCAGAGTCGGCGTCCAGTTTGGCTCCCTTGAGGAAGAGGTTGTACTTGAGCGGGTTAAGCGCCAGCGCCCGGGCAACCTCGAGAACTTGCCTATCGACGCTCGCCGCGTCCGTCTTCGCCTGCCTCAGGATTCCCAGGAGGCTGTCCTTCAATTCCTCCGAGGATAGTGGTCTCTGGAACGTAATCTCCGCCCCCCTCTCGCTGATGAGCTCGTGCGGGAGTTTTGCGACGTCCGTCTGCCCGTTTACCATGTAGAGCGTGTAACCTGCATGCACGTTCCCGAGCTTGAAGAGCGGGTGCGGATCCTGCACCTGGATTGCCCCCGCAGCCTCGCACAACTGCAGCTTGTCGAGGATATGAAGACGATTGCTGCCCTGCGTCAACTGAAGCCTCCTAGTGTCTTCCCGCTTGATCGTGATTGGATCTAACAACTTGCACTCGATGCTGCTGCTCGCCTTGGCGTGGCGTTCCGCACATGCCGCCGCGCTCTCGAACTCGGCCTTCCGCAGGTGATCCGCGGCCTCTCGGAGCACGCTGCTCTTCAGCCACTTGACGGAGTCGGTGATCTCCAGGGCCATGCGGATCGAGAAGAGCAACGTCTCGTCGTTGTTGAAGTGCTCGGCCGCCTCGTCTTCTGCTAGGCTGGTCAGCTTCCTGTGTGCCAGCTCACGGACCGCCTCCGAGGTGACACTCGCCTCGCTCTTGGAGTACTGGCCGGCGGTCGCCCACTGGTACCGCTCCACCGCAGTGCTGACCTCGGACCGAAGGTTCTTGCACATGTCCGTCACGAGCCTCTTCCGCTTGTTGATGACCTGGTCGATCGTCAGCGCGGAGAAGTTGACGTTGAGGCGCATCTGGATGTACAGGATGCTACCCTCGATCCGCGAGCCGAGCACCTCCATGCCGGTCAGCGGGGGAAAACATATCTCTCTCTCGTGCGGGTACTGCGACAAAAGCGAAAGGTCGGCTCCGCGGTCGATCATGCCGGTCTGAATCTCGAAGATGGTGGCAGCGTGGGCCCTTCCGTCCTGCACGTACTGCTTGGCAACCTCGAGGTCCCGAGAGCAGCTCAGGAAACCGTACTCGATGCCACCCCTGACGCCCGACTCGTCCTCGTTCCAGAAGCACTCGGGCAGGACGCCGCGCTGGGTGCCTCGGTACAGCTTATCAGCCTTCTCGAGCTTGCTCAGCTTGATGAGCGCCGAATTGATCGCATGAATGGTCGTGCAGTAGCGGTTCCCACGGCAGAGGCTGTTGAACTTCTTGACCATGTGCTCGCTCTGCCTCCCTGTCTTGACAGCGCCCCCGCGGTTCACGGCATTGTACTTCTCAAACATGGGGCCGGTGTATAGGCGGCCTCCAATCCACTCAACCAGCTCCAGCGGCTGCTCCCCCTTCTCCTTCAATTTCGCGTTGATTCCATCGAACACGTCCTTGAAGTCGCCGATGTCTTTCCACTCACGGCGGTGCTGCGTGACCGTCTCTCTGGGCCACTTCCAACTAGAGGGCGCATCCCCTTGCGCAGGGCCCAAGCTCGGCGGGGCATCCCTGCCGCTTCCCAGGTCCCTCGTTCCCGAGCGGCTCACCCGCCGGGCTGTCTTGGGCTCCTCGTTCTTTCCGCACACGAAATGCCACTCTATCTCTGGCGTGGTCGTGATCCCATAGTTCTCGGTCGTCCACTCGATCCTGGAGTCATCCGCGTTGCAGTGCTCGCGCATCATTGCCCTCTCCACCCTGGGGTCGGGTGAGCCAATGAGGTCTTCCAACCCCGCGAAGAAATCGCACTGGGTGCCGTACGACATGGAGTACGAGTGCGGATCGCTTGCGAACTTGCTGTTCATCTCGCCGCCTGTGGCGGCCTCCTGCTGAGTAAGCTCCGTCGCCATCCCGACGATCACGTTGCTGAGCTTCTCGAGCACGTTGCTGTCGCGAAGCAAGCCCATGATGACCTCCTTGCCCGCGCCGGCCCGCTCGCGCTCCAGCTGTCCGAGCGCCTGGGCGAACGCGAACTCCATGTCCTGCGAGCCAGAGGGCAGCGGGGCAACCAGTGCCTCGAGAGGCCTCCTGGACTGGGTCCCAGTAGATGGGGTCGGAGGATCGCGCCGCACCATGAATGCATCGCCGATGCATCAGCGACGTCGGCGATGCATCGGCGCCATCGGCGTGCAGAAGCTCTGGCTCCACATCGAGCCGCATCGTCGATGCATCGGCGATGTGGAGCGATCCTCCGACCCCACCTGCTCCGACCCCATCCGGGAGGCCACGGGCGCCTCGACCAGCGGCGCGCAGGCCTTCTGCGAGAGCCACTCCAGCATGCACCTGGGGGAGCCACGAGGTACTGATACCGCCACTCCCTGGACCTCTCATGGGGTGCGTTCTGACCAGAATCTCGAGGCGAGTCCAGCGGTGGCGACGAGGGCCTCCCAGGAGGCCCAAAAGTGAGGAAAAACGGGGAAGGGGTAGCGGTGTCGGTACAGTGGAGGCCGGGCCACAAGAAACCTCCCACAAGAAACCCAACCCTGAGACCCCAGCACGTCCCCTGATCTTTGGCGTGAGGACGCCGCGCTTTACCTCGCAGAGCCACCGAAACCCAAGAAACCCAGGGCACCCTGGAGGCAAACAGGGTGTTTCTTGGCATGGGCCTCCTCTGTATTGCATGCTCGTTCTGGGGACCTTCCTGGAGCCACTCGCTCCACTCGTGCGTCGAAGCTGCGTCGAACGTCAGTCGAGTTGGGTCGACCCTGAGTCGAACCTGAGTCGAACCTGAGTCGAACTTGAGTCGAACTTGAGTCGAACTGGGGTCGAACAGATCCGTTAGGTGGGCTCCAGGAAGGTCCCCGAAACGAGCATCGAACATGTACCTTTTCCTCATCTGAGCACCAGCGCTCGCGGTGCGCCGACCCGCCGGCGGGGCTGGCGGGGGGTGCGCCCCGCTGGCGTTCCGAGTGCAGCCTGCGCGCCCGCTCCAGCACGTCTGCCAGGCCAGGCGGCCCGCCGGCGTCCTACGACGACGACGACGACGACGACGACGACGACAGCGACGACGGCGACGGCGACGACGGCGACGACGACGACGACTAAGACGAATCCTCGGCCCCGCTGAACAGCCAGTCCGCAAGCTCCAGGTACCGCACCCTCTGCCCGCGCGGCGTGCTGAACTCTCGGACCACCGTGTCGGTCAAGCTTTCGGCGGTGTCCGCGGCGGAGGGCTGGTCCTGGCGGAGGCGGTCGGCGGGGGGTCTGAGCTGGAGAGCCCCTAAGGAAATCGGTCAAGAGGGGGAGTCAAGGCTCATTCGCTCAACATCGGTCGCTGGTTCCGAGCCGACGTCGAAGCTGACCAGCTGTTCGAGCCTCGTCCAGTCGTGGCGACGCGGCTGGGGGCTCTGAGCTTGAGGAGACCAGAGGAAATCAGTCGAGAGGGGGAATCAAGGCACATTCGTTCAGAATCGGTCCCCAGGCCACTTTAGGGGTCAAAACCGACCGACCCCACCAGCTGCTTAGGGCGCGAGCCGTTTATGGAGATTCCTGATCCATCCTCCCTGCTCCCCTTCGGTGAGGGTTTAAACTCGACCCTTCCCCTGCCCCCTCCCTTGTACATGGACGGGGCGTTTTGCGACGCGCTGGAGCGTCCCAAACGGCCTCGGCGAGACGGCATACATTATTGGTTAGATTCAGGTTGGGGCCCAACTTGGGCCGCCTGGGGGGCGGGGGGCGGGGGCTAATTTACCCACGTCCCTTCTTTGATCGATCACCTCCAAAATGGCCCCCGAGGCTCCCAAGAGTGCATCACCCCAAGAGGCCCCCAAGATGCCGCGAAGATGCCCCCAATAGGCTCCCGAGAGACCCCCAAAGCCCAAGAGGCTCCCCCGAAGCACGTTCGCCCCCCTCCTCCTGCTCCCCCTCGTCCTCCTCCTCCTCCTCCTCCTCCTCCTCCTCCTCCTCCTCCTCCTCGTCCTCCTCCTCCTCCTCCTCCTCCTCCTCCTCCTCCTCCTCCTTCTTCTGCCCGACGGCACCGAAGCACGAAGGCAGCAGCGAGGCACTGAATTAAAAAGAGGAGGAGGAGGGGGAGGAGGAGGAGGAGGAGGAGGAGGAGGAGGAGGAGGAGGAGGAGGACAGCATGGGTACTGCGAGAGTTGGTTAGGTGCCGCGCACACCGGGCGCCCTTCCCATTACTGCGAGAGTTGGTTAGGTGCCGCGCACACCCGGGTGATAGATACCGCCCGCCTGCTTTTCCTGCCCCCCTTCACCAAAATCCCTCTTCACCCGCCTTCATGGCACTGCAAGAGTTGATTAGGTGCTGCGACACCGCGCCGCCTTCCCAGTTCAAAGAACAGTGAAGTGAAACGTGAGTTGCGCCGCATTAAAAAAATGCTGCGCGCCCGCGACAATCCAAACGCTGGCCGCGAGTCATGTCTCGTCCCCGCGCTCGCACCCACCCCTCTTGCTCTGCTACCCAATATCCCTCCAGCCCCCCGTGGACAAACGGAACGATGTCAACGAACGCGCACGTTGCCAGGAAGGGAGGAAAAGAAAAGGGGGATTGAGGCTAAGAGTAGAGAGGAGAGTAGAAGGGGGCGAGGTTCTCCCTGAGAGCAGCGCCGTCGCCTGAAGAAGGCGGCCCGGCCGCCTCCGGCAGCCGAGCGGTGACAGCTTGGAACAGATGTGCCGCTATGAAAGCGCACAACTCCGAACTGCATTGCTCGGGTTGCGCTGTTCGGAGGTCGTCGGGGACGCCGCCGCTGGCAGCCTCGCGCGGGTGTCTGCCTGAGCTGTCTCCGTGGGAGCAGCGCCCTCCGCGCGGAAGGCCAGACACACCCTGGCGAAATGAGGGCTGACCAACGAGTGAAAACTGGGTGGGTTCGACCGCGGTGGCCGCGAATTCGCACTGATCGACCCAGACAAAATCCAAGTTCCCGCTAATGTCTTGCCTGCCCAGGGCGCGCAGATGGACAACCTCTGGCAGGAACCAGCAAGAGGGAGCCAAGGGGTCAGAAGGGGGCGCGAGCCAAGGGGTCAGAAGGGGGCGCGGGGTGTGTAAAGGTGCCTGCCGCTCCAAACATGTAGCAAGCATACATGAAAGTCAGACACGATCTGTACAGCGCATTGCCCAGTTCGAGTTGTCTCCACTCAGAAATGGAGCTCGTGGGGATCCCCCATAAGCTACTGATGGATATGACAGGGCGGGGGCCCCTGTGTCGTCCAAGAAAACTCGGTCGAGCTGCTGACCACGTCGCTCGTGGCGGGTCCGCGAACACCCCAATCGCGTGCCCCTCCTGGATGAGGTCCATGAATAAAGGTATCGAATGTGACTCAAACGCGCACTATTGGACCTCATCGCTGGCCACTGGCAAGCTTAGCATGACCAGAGGGGCCCCCGCTGCCGACACTAAGCTTTCGAAGTGGTCCCGGACATCTCCGGGGCGGCGTGGGCCACCAAACAAGTGCAGGACGTAAAAAACCGTGCGACGCACTCTGCGGATGTCGGAACGGGCAGGGCGGAAAGGAACATGTTTAGTGTACGCCACGGCCGGGGCTGGGATGCGCGTGGGGACCCACAGGTGGCTTGGTGGCGGTGGAGGCAAAGCAGGGCCGTAGACTTCTTGCGGGGGGGTCTCGGCGGATGTAGGGCGAAGCCCAACAGCGCTGAGGGCGACGGCGTCCACGTGGTCCTGCTGCCGGAAAGCCTGTTTCCTCCGCTGAGAGGAACCGCCCCCGTTGGATTAACCCTTGGAGACACGTTTCCGCGTCGTGCCGCAAATGCTTTCAGGAGGCGCCTCCTCCTCCTCCTCCTCCTCCTCCTCCTCCTCCTCCTCCTCCTCTCCTCCTCCTCCTCCTCCTCCTCCTCCTCCTCCTCCTCCTCCTCCTCCTCCTCCTCCTCCTCCTCCTCCTCCTCCTCCTCCTCCTCCTCTGCCTCTCCCTCATCCACGTAATCCTCCTCTCACACTCCCTCTCCCCCTCCCCATCCTCCTCATCCTCCTACTCGTCGCCTTCTGGGTCCTCCTCCATCCTGTCCCTCTTGGGGTATGAAGACTTCCCAGCCTTTCTTCCTTCCACTGCGTGCTCCCCCACATGCCTGATCTGGGCAACTCGCCTGGGCATCGTTTCTGGATGGACTGGTGGGGTTATTTTTTTTTGGTCGCGGCCGCGAGACAATCGTCAGGCGGCGAAAAGCACAGTCCGGGGCACGAACGAGGCTAATTAGCTACAACAGGCACGGCCGGCCCGCTCATAAAGCAGCCGCGAAGCTGAAGGGGAGCTGACGGCCTGGTGGGGTTACTTTTTTGGTCGGCGGCTCCAAGGCAACGGTCAGGGAGCGGAAGCGGCGTCCGGGATGCGGCACGGTGCGAATTTGCGAACACAGCCGCCAATGTTGGCAAGCCAGTTCGCACCTGCAAAGCAAGCTCGCAGCTGCACATGCACAGAACAACTCCTGGTGGGGTTACGCGAAACGTCTAGAATTTCGCGAGACGCGTCACGCCGTGGCGATGAAAGGGTTCCTTCTCTCCCCTTTCTGCTGGCCTGAACCAATGCTTTGGTGCGCCCGGAATGGGTACGGAAAAACGGATTACATGCTATCCAACACCGACAATGGCCGCTGCTGGGTAGGCGGCCTCCTATCTCTGATGGACAACGGCCACGGCAGCACCGACAGCAAGTCCTGTTCAGAGCAGACAGGAAGTTCTGTCAGCCTCCGTTCGGAGACAGCAAGGCCACAGAGCACCCCCAGGATGAGCACCCCGACGAGCGCAGCCGCTCGGTAGACGCACCCAGGGCAGGAATCGAACAGGGCAGGGCTGCTCAGCAAACGCGGGCCCCCATTGCTCTCCGTGCCCGTTTCCATCGTATCGTACCGGATGCTGGGCCACCTCGGCCCCAGGAGGAGGAGGAGGAGGAGGAGGAGGAGGAGGGAGGAGGGGGAGGAGGGGAGGAGATGGAGGAGGTGGAGGAGGGGGAGGAGGAGGGAGGAAGAGGAGGGAGGAGGAGGAGGAGGAGGAGGAGGAGGAGGAGGAGGAGGAGGAGGAGGAGGAGGAGGAGGAGGAGGAGGAGGAGGAGGAGGACCCACCGGCTGCCACGATCCTGCAGCACGTGCAGGAGGAGCCCGCGCACGGCGCCCACGGGCACGAAGCCGTCGCCCGACGCGTCGTCCCTGGCCAGGACCCTCAGGAGCGCCGCCTTCGGGGATGGACAGACCCCCCTTTAGTAAAACGTGGCTTAGTGAAAACGACCTGAGGCCCCAACCTGGCGGGCGCAAGCCTGGAAAATAACGGCCCCGGCGCCCTCTCGAGAACCGAGAACGGACAATTCACTAATCGACGTGTCACTGTTGGGGGTTCTGTCCACCCCCGACGCCTTCTCGCTCATGGCGGGCCGCGCCGGCGGGCCAGGCCGCGGCGCGGGCTGCGGCACGAGGGCAAGGGCATCACCAGCCTCGAACGTATCCCTATCCCTAAGAGTGACACGCCAAAAGGCGATGAGAATCTTAGGGATTCCCCCTCAAAACGTAAGGGAATCCCTCAAATTGGCGTCGTGATGAGGAGGTGCCCAGCATAGGGATAGGGATATGTTCCAGGCTGGTAAAAGCCGCGGCGCGGGCCACGGCACGAGAGCCAGTGCAGGCTGAGCCAGAATGGCTGCGGGGAAAGCGCGGGCGGATGCCCAGAGGGCTCTGGGCCACCTCGCGCGAAGTCCCGGCCAGCTGGGGTCCGTTTCGGCCACCCTGGCAGCAGTGGGGCCGCCCTGGTGCCAAGCTGGGGCCGACTTGCGACCAGCTGGGACAAGCTTGAGTCACCTATGCACAGGCGGTCACATCTGCACAGGTCCCTGCTGCCCTCGTGCTGCCGTTTCTGCCGACCTCTGATCCTGTGCCCTCGTCTTGCTGCTCTTCCTGCTTCGCGCTTCTGTCCCCACACCGCTGCTCCTGTGCCCCGCGTTCGTCCCTTGCGTCCTAACCGATCTCGTCTCATGTTTGCCAGCGTGGACCCCGAACAGCAGGCTACTGCACTGTCGCCTTGCAACCTTCGCGGTGCCCGATACGTGCTTTAAGCTATTGAGGTGCATTGCATGTGTGATGTAAGCTGTGTTGTGCAGAATGTGATGGAGCACATGGGGTGTGGCCTATGCGGTGAAACCTACTGACCTATGTGGGCTATGCTATATGTGGCGATCTGGGTGGCCAGAGCTATGTGGTGTAGCGATATGTGGTGCACGCTGTGTTGTGCAAGCTATGTGATGCACGCTGTGTAGTGTGGAACACAAACTATGTGGTGGAAGAGATGTGGTGCAAATCGTGCGGTGCCATCTGTATGGTGCAGCCCGTGTGGTGGGCAGCGCGAGGCGCCCACGGTCGCCCGCCAGGCGAAACCCCGGCGCCCACAAGGCACCCTCAGCCGCAAACCGGGCGAAACCTCGGCACACCCATCCAATTACCAGAAGGCATCTGCAAGATAGCGCTTGCCATGCCATCCAGTGATGCCGCAGGTGCCATCCTCATCGTGACTGCTGAGATGGCGATGCGCAGTCATTCGCCTTGCTTCGACCTGTATGCTGGAGCTCACCAACCCTGCTTAGAGCATGAGCGGCGCCGCACCATACTGGTCCCCAAGCAATGCTTGCGCTACGAGTTCTTCTGCTTCTCAAATTATGCGGGCAGGTGTGTCGGGGTTCCGCCCCGTTCGCGCCTGTGGGCGCCTCGTGTGGGTGGGTGTGGCGGAGGTTCGCTCAGCGGGCGCCCGTGGGCGTTTCGTGGCCGCCTCGCCCGCGGGGTGAACGTGTCGAAATTCCGCCCAGCGGGCGCCTACCGACACGTTTGGCGCCTCGAGTTCTTCCAGCCCTCCTGTGTTGGGTTCTCATTTTGAATAGAACACTGTGGTCCCCACCTCTTCTCCTACCGCCTCCCGCCTCCTCCTGCCTCCTCCTGCGCTGCTCCCTGGGTGGCTGTGAACTGCGCCACTGTCACCACATTCGTGGGCTCCTGGGAGGTCCAGCGGAGTCGGGGGGCACGCGCACCCTGAGGAGACCTCGCTGCTCCCTGGGTGGCTGCGAACTGCGAAACTGTCGCCACCTTCGTGGGCTTCTGGGAAGTCCAGCGGAGTCCAAGGGCCATGCGCACCCAGACGAGACCTCGCTGCGCCCTGGGTGGCTGCGAACTGCGCAACTGTCGCAACTTTCGCGGGCTCCTGGGAGGTCCAGCAGAGCCAGGGGGCACGCGCACCTCACCACTGCCGTGGGCTCCTGGGAGGTCCAGCGGAATCGGGGTGCACGCGCACCTCGCTGCTCCTTGGGTGGCTGCGAACTGCGTAACTCTCGCCACACTCGTGGGAACTTCGGAGGTCAGGCGGAGTAGGGGGCCATCCGCACCAGACGAGGCCTCGCTGCTTCCTGGGAGGCTGCGAACTGCGCAACTGTCGCCACACTCGTGGGCACTTCGGAGGTCAGGCGGAGTCGAGGGCCATGCGCACCCAGACGAGACCTCGCTGCTTCCTGGGTGGCTGCGACCTGCACAACTGTCGACATGCTTCGTGTGCAAGAGTGCTGCATGTCTCTACACGCGGTCGTGTGTACAAGGGCGCTCCTTTCAGTAGTCGCCGTGCGAGGGGAAGGGTTTGGGGAAGTGTCGGGTACTGTAGAGACACGGGCCCCCGATCTCTTGACCACTTCCCCGGGACTGCTTTATCATGCTGGGAAACCTGTGTGTAGGGTCCAGGGGCCCAGCGGAGGCCCCTCTGATGCCGACAGCGACAAACCTCCTCCAGAAGGAGGCCGAGCTCCGAGCCCTTCATACACTGACTTTGCTCCGCACGGACTTCGCATCCTATCAAAGTCCAGACGGAGCAGGCCTGGACAGAGGCCGAACGCTCCGTGCGGGCTTTCCTCCGAGCGGACTTCGCATCCTAACAGGAAAGGCGAAGACAAAACGGAGTACGCCCACACGGAGGCCGAACGCTCCGTGCGGACTAGATTCCGTGCGGACATCGCATCTCCTCAGCAGAGGCGAACTCCAGACGGAGTAGGCCCCTACGGAGGCCGAGGGCCCCGTGCGGACTTTTCGCCTGTACGGACTTCGCACCCCATCAGGAGCTGCGACGTCCAGACGGAGCGAGCCCCGACGGAGGCCGAGCGCTCTGTACGGACTCTGCCCCGCATGGACTTCGCATCCGATCAGGCGAAGCCAGAGAACCAGACGGAGTAGGCCCAGACGGCGACCGAACGCTCCGTGCGGCCTTTCCTCCGCGCGGACCGCGCATCCCATCTGGCTAGGCGAAATCTGAACGGAACATACCCGTACGGCGGCCGAGCGCTCGGTACGGACTACGGACTTCGTATCCGATCTGAGGCGGAAAGGTGGTCGAGACGGAGTGGGGCCAGACCGCGCCGGAGCGCCCCGTGCGGCCTGCACGCCGCACGGGCTGCGCATCCCAACCGGCGAGGCGACACCCAGACGGAGCAGGCCCAGACGGTGGCCGAGCGCTCCGCGCGGGCCCTCCTCCGTGCGGACCGCGCAGTCGATCACAAGAGGCGAGAAGTTCGAACGGAGCGAGCCCCGAAGGAGGCCGAGCGCCCCGCGCGGAGTTTTCTCCCAGCGGACCCCGCGCCCTGTCAGGAAGCGGCGGACGAGCGCCCCGCGCCGTCTTTACAGGGGGGCACCAACAAGTACCGATACCGCTACTTCCCGGACCTCTCCCTGGGCGCGTTCTGACGAGGATTTCGCAGCAAACCCAGCGGTGGCGACAAGGGCCTCCAGGAGGCCCCCAAAAAGGGGAAGCGAGGGAAGGGTAGCCGTAATTATGGGTACCCTCCCCTCCTCTGAAGGGTAGCGGGAAGGGAACCCCATCTTCCCCTTCGGGGAGGGGTTTACCCCTCCCCCTACCCCCTCCCCCTGGACCTGGACCGGGAGTCCGGGGCGTAGTCAGGGGGGGTCTTTTTTGACTCCTCGGAGGGCCAAAAAACGACGACCCTCACGAGGATTCTGGCCCCGACGGGGGGATACAGTTTGGCCCCTCTGCTCTTCTTTGAAGTCAAAATCGTTGATTTTACTACGGTTTTGGCCCCATTTTGGCGTCCTGAGGGGGCCGCGCTCATCTTCCTTCATAGCAAAATCATTGCTTTTACAAAGGTTTCGGGCTCATTTTGTTCTTTTCAGGGGGCAGCGCTCATTTGCGCTTCTGAGGAGGTCGCACGAGGCCCCAAGATGGCCCCAAGAGGCCCCCAGGAGGCTCCCAAGAGGTCTCCAAGAGCCCCCCAAGAGGCCCCCAAGAGGCCCCAAGAGGCCCCCAAGAGGCCCCCAAGAGGCCCCCAAGAGGCCCCAAGAGGCCCCAAGAGGCCCCCAAGAGGCCCCCAAGAGGCCCCCAAGAGGCCCCCAAGAGGCCCCAAGAGGCCCCACGAGGAGCCCGAACGACTCACACCAGGACGAGGGGCCCTAACGACTCACACCACGAAGAGCCCGAACGACTCACACCACAAGGAGGGGCCCGAACGACTCACACCAGGACGAGGCGCCCGAACGACTCACACCACGAGGAGCCCGAACGACTCACACCACGACGCGGGCCCCGAACGACTCACACCACGAGGAGCCCGAACGAGTCACACCAGGAGGAGGGGCCCGAACGACTCACACCAGGATGAGGGGCCCGAACAACTCACACCACGAGAAGCCCGAACGACTCACACCAGGACGAAGAGCCCGAACGACTCACACCACGAAGAGCCCGAACGACTCACACCAGGAAGAAGGGCCCGAACGACTCACACCAGGACGAGAAACCCCAAACGACTCAAATCACGAGGAGCGCTTTCTCTCCCTCCTCCTCCGCCTCGTCCTTCTCCCGCTCCCCCCACAAGGAGGATGTACAAGGAGGCGGGAGGAAGGAGGAACAGGGGAGATATGCGGGGCCAAGCGGACACACGCCTGAATTATCCCGGCAAAGCAACCTAACAGCGATGTGTAGGAGCATATCTGGAAGCATCCCCCTTAAGATTCAGATGATAATCCAGTTGTAGAGTTCTGCTGTTCTCGCAGTCGTAGTCGCATTCGCGATGACAGTCGCAGTGGCCTGCATTAGCCTCAGCCTCAGCCTCAGCCTGCCTCAGCATCAGCCTCAGCCTCAGCTTCAGCCTGCCTCAGCCTCAGCCTCAGCCTGCTCCTGCATCAGCCTCAGTCTGCCTGCAGCCTCGGCCTCAGCCTCAGCCTGCCTCAGCCTCAGCCTCAGCCTCAGCCTCAGCCTCAGCCTCAGCCTGCCTCAGCATCAGCCAGCCTCAGCCTCAGCCCCAGCCTCAGCCTTAGCCTCAGCCTCAGCCTGCTTCAGCCTCAGCCTCAGTCTGCCTTCAGCCTCGGCCTCAGCCTCGGCTGCCTCAGCCTCAGCCTGCATCAGCCTCAGCCTCATCAGCCTGCCTCAGCCTCAGCCTCAGCCTGCCTCAGCCTCAGCCTCAGCCTGCTTCAGCCTCAGCATCAGTCTCTTCAGCCTCGGCCTCGGCCTCGGCCTCAGCCTCAGCCTGCTTGAGCCTCAGCCTCAGCCTCAGCCTGGCTCAGCCTCAGCCTGCCTCAGCCACAGCCTCAGCCTGCCTCAGCCTCAGCCTCAGCCTGCTTCAGCCTCAGCCTCAGTCTGCCTTCAGCCTCGGCCTCAGCCTCAGCCT